AAGAACGTATTTACCCAAAAGTGAAACATTTTGTCCTAAAAAAGAAAAGAAATGACTAGTTTTTTATCCTTAAAAAAAAAATGTCAGCTACATAAAACATTTACCATAGAAGTCAATAAAATAAACTATTTGATGTTGTGAATAAGGGTTAGCACAACCTGTGGATTATCTGTTACGTTTCCATTCACTATCATTTTTTTTTACTCAAATTTTAGACCTAAAGACTTGATGCAATGTAATTCTTTTATGAAATTGCAAGTAAAATGCTCTCCTTTTCTAGTCTAATACTAGCTTTTAAAAATGTTGAGTTTAGGCCCGGAGATACAGCTCAGTGGCATGAGCATCTGCCAGGAAGTGCAAGGTCCTGAGTTTGATCCCTGGTATAAGAAAAGAAGAGTTTATTTGTGTGCATGTGTATAGGTATAACAAAACTCAGAAAGTTCTTTTAATTTAATAAAAGTTTTTGAAAGGTTAGCCCAACTTCTGCAATGAAGCAGGAAAGTTATTTTACATGTACAATAACATAAACAAGCGTAAGTGGTTCTACTTTCTCATATGATAATGTATGGTTAGAAACTTCCAAAATAAAACGGGAGATGTTCTGTTATGAAATGTCTATTTAAAAAAAAATTAATATGCTAGCCGTGGTGGAGTGTGCCTGAAAGTCCCCGCACTTGGGAGGCTGATGCAGAAAGATCACCACGAGTTCATAGTTGATTATGTGGTAAGACCCTTCTCCACAAACAAAAACAAAACAAAACCCTCTAATAATAAGAGCCCTTCATTAACAATTGCAACAGCACAACTACATCTCTTTAGCCCTTTCTCAACACAGAAATTATGTCTATACAAGCATTTGATGTCAATCACTTTACAGCCTTGTGACATATTACCTGCTGCCTGATTCTGCCACCTAAACCTTTTGCTCTAATGAGTCAAGTTTTGAGTTTTCTTCTCAAGATGATGAAACCCTCAAGGATCTTACGTCTTAAAATTTCACTATATCATTTTCATAGTACCTAGCAAGACAAGGCTTTTTAAACATTTGTTAATTTCAATCAAGTTAATAAATTTGAACTTTTAAAAACATGGATTCATCTCTACTGATTATACTAAAATGTTATATTTAATCTTTAGTTTTAAAAGTATTAATGTAAAGTATAGAATAGAAGTAAGAATTAACACTCCCTAAAGGTACAAGCAATGTAGAAGCAGGCCTCTAGTTTTAAGAGTGATATGTAAATATTCTATGTACCAAGGCCTTACTCTGAATAACAAGAGCAGGGGGATACCCAAGGCTTGCTAACACTTTTTGGACTATCAAAAAGTAGTATTTTCAACCTGGTGCGTACCTGCAATCACAGATACTTAGGGATAAGGAGGATCATAAGTTTTTTTGTTTTGTTTTGTTTTGTTTTTGATGGAACCAGGGATTGAATTCAGACCCTTACACATGCCAGGCAAATGATTATTCTACTGAGCCATCTCCCTGGCCCAGGATCACAAGTTTCAGGCCAGCCTCAAGCACTAGTTAGTAAATCCCTGGAAAATAAATATAAAATAACCCAGTCTCAAGGAACATGGAAGTAAAATGGGAAAAATTGGCTTATATTATTAAGTCCACAGAACAGATCTTAGTGCTACCTATATACATAAATAAATAAATAAATAAATTTATAACCTCCTAATTTCTTAGTTAATACACCACCTTTTTAAAGAAGACAACTGAGGGCTCGGGGAGATAGCTCAGTAGCATAAGCACTTGCCTGGCAAGCACAGGGTCCTGAGTTCAATCCCCAGGACCGCAAAAAAATAAAGAAGACAATTGAATGGAGTCATGTATGTAATCTTTAATATATTTATAACTCCTTTGCATACCCCATGTTAAGAAAACTTCATCTTTTGTTATACCATATAATCTTTCCTCCTAATAAGCTCATCTGTCTTTATAATGTCTCATTAATACCACAGTCAAATGTCTACGGATCTAACAGAACAGTGACCACAGTTCATGAAATATCACTCATCATAAGCTAAAATAAAATACATCCTTTCATCTCTTGTTACAGAATGACTTCTGCCTAACCAAAGGCTCTAAACAAATGGCCTGAGGTTATTCTTTAAGGCATAACTATTTTGTATATTTTCCCAATAAAAACAAAGTGCAAACCTTTTTTAGCATCTTGTTCTGTTTGTGGAAGAACTCTACTTTGATGTCACCGCACACAGGCAAGGGCTGAGGGAACTCAAAGTACATGAACTTGTCTTCCCGTCTTGTGGGTCCTGAATTGGAGGAATATATCTTCACCTTTAGCTGGCAGACCACAAATTGAGGATCTGCATGGTTAAATAAATACTAGTATCATTTCACAGGAAATGTCTTTGACTGTCAAACTGCAAAAACTTAATCATTTTAAAGATCAATTATCAGCAATGTATCCTAAAGGCTAATTCTCCATCTGCACTTCTGATCCAAACAAGTCAACCGAAATAAATAGGTCAGAAACATAATCAATGTAAGGCCGGGTGTGGTGATGCATGCCTGCAATCCTAGCACTCAGAAGGATAAAGAAGAGCTGAGGTAGGAGGACTGCTATGAATCAAGAGATCAATCTGGGCTACAGAGTGAACTCAAGCCTGAACTACACAGCAGGACTCTGTGTTCAAAACAATATACAAGTAACATATAAAAATATATATGGAGAGAGGAAGTGGTTAAAAAAAATAAAATTAAAAAAATATGTATATATATATATATATATATGATACATTAGACTACTTTCTCCAACTTGAACCTCCAAAATAAGGCCCTGTTCTAGTATGAAAGTCAATTCCTATTTCAGTAATAGTACCAAGATTAGACTTGGGACATTAAAATTATGCCAAAAATAATAAATTAATTTAAGCATAAAAATTATTTTAAGAATTTTCTACCAATTTGTGAACTATGTAAATGGTAACTTTTAAAATATAGCTGTTATAGTATTTATATCTCTAACATAAGCCAAAAATCATAAAATAAAGATCCAGGCATTATAGGCTAGCACATGCCTATAATCCCAGCACTCAAGAGGCTGAGGCAGGAGGACAATTGTAAGATTCAAACCAGCCTGGACTACAAGGCCAGGATGAACAGCACAGTGAGACCCTGTCTCAGAAAGACAAAAAAAAAAAAAAAAAAAATCATAAAATAAAAATTGCTACATAGTCACGAGAATATAACCTGTAACAAAATTATAATAAATTTCACAAACATAAACCCAGGTATTTATACAAATACCATCATTCTTATTACCTCCAGATCACATTTTATTTTAAAGGTATATAAAATCACTATTGCGATAAACAAGAAAAAAAGATTTAAGATGTCTCTGAAGAAATGCAACTGACCTAAAATAAAAACAGTAATAAAACTTCCCTTTTCTCTCTAAAACACCCAGTCTGATTTTAGCTAATGTCTTTTAAAATAACTGGTGAGTATAACTTCTCAAAATTTATTATACTTTTATCTCAGCAATTCAACTAAAAGGTTTTTTTTTTAA